TTTCGCACCAAGTATGCCTGCGAGTCTACTAGGATACTTCGTGCTGGCCACACCCACCACAGAGCTCAACAAAAGCTGTGTGATCTTACAGCTGCGTGTGCTGTGCGGCACACTCCATCCTGACATGGAATCTACAGGAGATCACAAGCCGTGGTCCAAAAAGAAATGCAATCTTGAGTTGGGACACTGCTACACAAAACATCTGATGGGCATTTTGTGCCGGACTCCTTGCCTCATTGACCATGGCATACTTCAGCTCCCGTGAATTCATGAATGCCACAGTCGGTGCGTCAGGCCTGCATGCAGCTTGACAACACCATAGGCCCAGGTAGAGTTTTCAGTGGAAGAGACTGACTCCAAACATCCGGGTTAAGCTGGCCAAACGTCCGAGCTCGGATGAGTAGCCGAGGCAAACGCGTGACGTGATCTGGCTGTATCCAGAAGCGCTTGGGTGAGATTCTCTCCCGCCTGTCTGGAAGGAGGCTTTAGAGGCATCTCGCGGCTAGTTACATTTCTCGGGTGTGGATTTGCAATGGCCTCCATGCATGTGACAGCCCAAAGCTCAACATGATGAGAGTAATAGTTTACAAGTCGCACGCCTGGCACTGTTGATCACTGTTGCCACAAGCAAAATGCATGCATTGGCTCACAGGCAACGTTGGGGACCCGAGCTTTGGCTTTGGGCGCCGTGGGTCCACAAGGTCCTGCAGATGCCATCAAAGCATTGGCGTGTCTGACAACCAAAGTACAATGACCCAATGACCAGGCCTCCGGAGCCCCGTCCATGGTGGGAAGAGCAGGACGCGGACGGTCGCGAGTTGGAGGTCGGCCATTGAAGTACCTGGCGGCGGAATCAGACTTAAGCCTTACCGCGCATTCTCCATGGAACGCCTCACCTTGAGAAGTAGTCAGCCTCCGCTTGTGCATCCTGAGAGGTGCAGGGCAATCTTGTCGAGCTTAAGGCATATCCCAAGCGAGAATGCGAACAGCGTTCTCTGCTGGATTCTTTTGCAATTGCAGGGGATGTGAGGTCATCTGCACCGTGGCTTTGGGATGTCGTTGTGAAGTTGCGTGCACACAACTTCAGAACAGCTTCAGAACTTGTGAAGATGCACCCTGACATCCTCTGAATTTCCGAAAAATCTTGCAAGTTGCCACCCTAAACCCATCCAAGCATCTCTGACACTTCGCATGGCACTCCGAAGCTTGGGCCAGAACAGTTCCAAGTGGGCCAGGCTGTTCACCATAGGGATTTGGAACATACCTGCGTGCCCGAGGCTTCTTTGGAAGAACCCTGAAGTTTACGTGAAGATTTCTCAAGGCGGTTAGATGCTTTAAATCTGGAGGGAGTTGACTCAGGTAAACGAACTCCATGAAGAATGCTCAAGGCTGTTGTTTTATAGCTTGTGACTTACGACTCTAGGAAGTTGACACCGGTGAAAACAAGCCGTTTTGTTAGCTGCTAGATTGACCCTCGCCGCGCCTTTATGCTTGCACCACCTGAGGTTTCTATTGGGTGTTTGGAAAAGCCCTTACTGTGAATCTCATAGAAGCCAGGCAGGCTTGTTGTTGCGTTGTTGCAGATATTGGATGGTGGGCTTTCAAAAGGTTTTTCCCAGCCATTTCCTGTATATCTGATTCGCGCTTCAAACACGGCCTATGACTGGGCAACAGTCCGGGTGTAGCTTTCCTGCAATTCAGAGGTTCCAGCCTGTAGTTGCGCTCAGCTAGCTGCTTGGCCAACAGGCGCCTCAGCAGTTGGACTTTCTTGGCCCTGTGACTGCGATAGCACTGAGAAGTGTACAGAAATCTTACCATGTCACTGCCCATAACGTCTGCGTTGCCTGCCAACCTCCAAGCCTGGGTCAGCGGCGCCTTGGACGCCTTCAAGTCAGCAGCTTCCTGGAAAAGGCAAACGGCTTTGCAAACTGGACCTGATCTGCTCCGGAAGTGAAACGGGATGTGAGACTCGGAGGCTCTGCATCTTCACTAAGATTTTACGCGGGAAAGTGGAAATCTGGACGCTGCGCGCTGGTCCTGCTCACCCATGTCTCTCTCCGGGTTGAAGTGAGGCACCTTGCCAATGCTCAGGGCTCCGCTTCACATCTGTGATGAAGCCAAAATCTCAAGAATCATCGCAGGCTGAATGGGCAGGCTGGATAGGCAGGCTTGGCAGGACATACGAGGTGTTCCAGAATCTCTAAGGGATTTGGAACCCCAGTAGAAATTACAATTTCAGCTAAATATTAGGATTCTAGGTAACAGAAATTGAAAAGTATTTTCAGGAACCTTGTAGGAATTGAAGTCTAATGAATACCGTAGCAAAATATGCAATTACAAGACTAAGTTTGGTCAAGGATTCAGCGTATTGTTGGAAGCAGTCTGCAGCGTGAGACGAGCAACCTCCGGCGGCTTCATTGCTCTCGTCTGTCGCAACGAAGAAACCTCTGCAAGAACAACATGCAAAAGAAGCGATGGATGATATTTGAGTTCAAGTGCTTCGAGTCTGTAAAGTTGGCTTCGCCTTGTGGGCGTGTGCCGCTGGGCTAGTCTCTAAGTGACGTCTGAAAAGCAAGAAGCTTGGCACCCAAATGCACACATGCTAGGCCAGACAATTTGCTAATGGGTCGATTGCTAGTCGCTCCTGATTGATAAGCAAATAAACAGAACCTCTCTCTACTGCTCGCGTAGCTTCGGTGGAGGACTGTCCACATCCGGCTCTTATAAGCAACGGTATCCTGCATCCGAAACATGTCTTTCATCCCGCCGAAGACCAAAGCGACCTTCGCTGTGTCGCCTTTCGGCCCGGAGAACTTCGTCTGGCTAGCCGCCTGACGTAGTTTCCGGGCTGCCCAGGCTCGGGGTCAAATGAGATCAGGGCTTTCAAAAGTTGGAATTCTTGAAATTTAGGGTGCTTGGGCCTTGTACGCCTGATCTTACTCCCAAATGTTAGCCGGGGTAACTTGAGGAGGCTCGTGTGTCAATTAGATTAGCGCAGGGCGCAGGAAGTTCATGAATGAAGGGCCTCTGAGCCACTGCTTCTGTCTTACGAATATGGGACGCGCAAAGACGATGCTACAGTATGTCAAGGATCCCGACATCCATAAAGAAATGTCACAGCGGGAGGAGATTGCAAAGTCAACCCCCAACCCCAACACCACACCTGGGCGGCATGCTACTGGAATCTCCATCCTTCATGAGTCAGATGAGAACGAAATCTACCCGGACTCCTGCCCGCCTGCTGGATCTTGGCCTTGACAGGTTCATCTGCCTCAGCCTGCGGCAGCTGCTCAGTCTGCCATGTCTGCCACAAATGCCACAGCCCACGTTATCCACGGTCGGTAGGGTCTAGATTGTGACCATGATGGCGCAACAAGCACGGTCAGCACAACCACTCGAACTAGTTACGAGCACTGGTTCTTTCACATGGTCCCGCCTTGGGATGTCAAGCGCTCAGCACATCTATTGATTGAGATAGGTACGATAGGGAGCGTTTTGCAAGTTTCCTTGCTCGTCCATCCCCTGTCAGTCGATACCTTCTTTTGAAGCTGAAGTTGTGCCACCTCGCATCGACAGAAACCTTGGCAGCTCCGCCCTGAAGACCTTCAATCTACCTCTGGATTCGGAGGCCTCAACATCCAACGCCTTGTCCTGGAGATCGCGAACCTGAAAGCAGGCTCGCCGAGGAGATCAAGTTGCTTGTTAAGCAATCTTGAGGATGGATAAAGGCATTTTACGTGGCAGTCCGATTGCAGCCAGTAGCAGCTATGATATGTACGCATTAATTTATCATGATGTTCACAGCGGCACGGCTGCGGCTCAAGGACCATAGTTACAAAGAAGCAGCTCATGTGCTTGCCTGCTTTGCTTGTCCAAACATGACTTCGCAGACGTGCCGCAGAAGCATGGGCTACCTCCGGTATCTTGTGAGGTCTGAGAAGGACTGGAAAGTCGCCGTCCTGGACAGCACAGGGCCTGGATGATCTTTAACCTCAGCCTGGATATCTGCGGGATGACTCTTCTCGTCCTTCTGCCGCTCTCGGATTTCGCGCACTTTGGCGTACCTTCTAGCAGTGCAAGATCAAATGGCGGGTGCAAAGCCTTTGCGTTCATTGCCATCTCGGGGTTTGACTTTGCATAGCTTCAGATCTGTAGGTCCCCCGCCGAAGTTGCAGCTTCTGTCTCTTCTTTCTCGCAACCTGAATTCAGGTGAAATCTGCTGGAGATGAATGTGTTAGAACTATCCCGGTCCAATTGAAATGCTGGGCTGGCGTTGCCTTCGCCGCGCTGGCGACGGCTGCTGCGGAGCCTGTGGCAGATGCAAATGTCAAGGGAGTGCAGTTGGACTTGCAAGGCGAAGGCATGCACGAAACTGCAAACAGCAATCGGGTCAACACTTTCCAGTGTGTGCCCAGACAATGCGATCGAAACCACCCAGCGCACAACCTCCTGAAATTTCCGCGAAAAAGCATTTTCTGCATCGGGCTGCAGCCTCTCAGAGACGCACATGCCAAAATGGAGAAGTCCAATCGATTGCGACAGCACGGCCAAGGTGGCTCCAGCAGCATCTTGCTTGCCAGGCGCTTCTCTAAAAAAGGGTTGGACCCCAAGGCTGAAACAGGGTACATCAGAAGACGAAAGCTACATCGGGAAAAAGATAGCCGGGGGGCTTGGTGACTCTGCAACGTGTTGTCCAGATGCCTGAATAGTTAACTAGGTCCTAGTCAACAGCTAACACAGGCTACGCAAACCTGGCAGTAGCTGAAACAGTTGAATCGTCTGATTCGGTGATGCAGCAACGTTAAATCAGTGCTGCCTCTCTCAAAACATCACAACCCCAACTCTCCCAGTAGCAGGACTTGTGCTTGGGCGACCCGATCCATACAATGTGTACTCACAGTCTGACAAAGATTAATGAGGGGCCGCTCGCGCATTCAAAGGCACTGGAGAGCTGGGAGAGAGCCACTATGTGTTCTCAGCACGTGGATGGAAACTTTTCTTCACTGGCTTGCAAGTTCGACGGCTTTCTTGGCGCCGGTGGTGAAGTCGTTGGTGAGGAATGCCTCCACACCGCTCTCCTTGATGATCTTCATGCCAGCTTCCACGTTTGTGCCTGTGCAAAGGATCCCACAAGAGCAGCACATGACTCACATGACATAAACCCCCCCCACACCTAGCAGCTCCAAGGGCCTTCCAAGCGAATGACCAGCGGCTTGATGGCGGCGTTGCCACCCACCGCCTTGACTCCGGCAACCACGGCCTCCGCGATGTGGTCGCATCGCGCAATGCCACCAAAGATGTTCACGAAGATGGACTTCACCTCAACATTGGCAACATGCAGATGGCACTAGCAGTTTCACCTCCAGTGATCTGAGGCCGCCGCGTTGGGGTCGCCCATGATGATCCTTGCAAGGCCGCCAGTAATCATGCGAGGGTCCCATTACCATAAGATTGACTGTTCTGGAAGATGGCCCGCAACAAACACGCATTCCTTGATAACTCGTTCGACTCTCTGGAATCTGGCCCCTTGTTGCCGACAAGCGTCTTGAAAGCCATGGTCATGGTCTCCACGGTAGAGGCACCACCTGCCAAGACTTGGCAGCCTACCTGACCCTGAGCTCGCCTCAAAGCTTGTAGCTTCAGGACTTGCTCCCAATCCTTCTTGCTAACCTGCCACCTAAAGGCCTACCTGTCCAGACGCTTTTGGGCAAAGAGAGGGATCTGGGACACGCTGGAGCGTTTGATTGCAAATGGTGACTCTTGAAGTGGAGAGCCCCTCTTAGCGCCGTGTCTTTCACGCTCTGGACCACACAAGTGAATCTTCAGATGGCTGATTCCTGGAACTGATGCGACATTGGGGAGCTTCCCGAATCTTTGTGCGGCCACCTCACCGCATCCCAACCTGCTGATTGCAGGTCTGTACGTACTTACACTCTGGACACACCTACAATGCGAGAAACAAAACTAGAGCCATCATATTGGCCACCAGCCCTATCAATTGGACATCACATCAAATTCCATGCGCCGCACCAACGTCCAGGAAGTTTGCCGGGCTCCCGCCGAGGATGCTAAGCAGATCCTCAGCAAACTGCTTTGTAGTGCAAGCCTGTCGTAGAGTCTGAAAGACAAAGACTAGAGACGCAATGTTTCCGTCAAAACGCTCTACAGGTCACATGAAGAACTCTCCGGACCAAGGCCAACAAAAGCCATGAATTTTCTACCTGAAACTGCTCCGGCGGGTCCATGGGTTCCTGCATATCAGAGGGTTGTTAGTGTACAAGCTGACATGCTGGGGGGAACAACTAGCGAACCCTAAGGCGCAGCACTCAGCCAGATGCTTCCTGCCTTAAGCTGTAACCCGGACCAACGGACCACTTGAAGCGTCAAAGCCGAAGGCTTTGTGGATTCTTCTGACTCCTAGAGCCTCCCACAGCCAACCTCAGCAAGGTTCCATGGTGGACATTGCCAGACCAGCGCCATTGACCATGCATGCCACATTTCCATCCTCGGCAAGCTCGAGGCTCTATCATAAGGCGGACGGCTTGCTGGAGTCTCCGAAAACATTGTGTTGAGGCGGATAATCAGACGGTCAAGAGCCGAGGCTTATCGAACGCCTCTCAACCCAGCAAACTCACTGCATAAGAGATAGTTGAGTCCGCAAACAGAAGATGTGATGAAATGATCAGCACATTACATTGTTGATCAATGGAAGGTTCTATTGATTGTTGGCTGCATGGCTGCGGCCAGTATTTACAGCCTTCTTGGCTCTACGCTTCCTTCTGGCCAAGTCCTGCCCCAAAGGAGTGAAGACGTGCGGACTTTGTGGGTTGAACTTCTTGCGTGCTGCAGGAGTGCCAGCTTGATGTAGTTCAGGTCGTACTTCTTCGCCTCCACCTGGCTAGAATGGCAAACATGATGCTGGAAGGGGCCAACAACCTTCTTCCGGTGGTATTGCGAAATGACATTGAGGAGGCAACGAATGACGGAGCCAGAGTCACAGTTGTATGACAACTCGCATTCAAATCTTAAAAGCATGTGTTACGCTTGAGCTCTGGCATGGACCTACTGGGCCTCGATGGGGTTTTCCTGGGAGGTGTCGCGCTGATCATGGATCTCCTTCTGGCGGTAAGAAGCGTTGTCATCGAAGTTGACCTGGCGGTACCCCCCCTTGAGAACGCTGTTCCTGAAACAACCTGTCACGGAGCCCAGCCTTGGAGTCGCAGACCAGCACGCGGCCGTCCGTGAGGGAGGCAAGAGGGTTGATCTCCAGCATGGTGCAGTCGCACTCAATGAAGACCTGCACTGACCGCCATCCCACTAATGCTGGCATGGCTATTATCCCCCCTATGAATCTGTAGGAATCCTAACTTATGTGTGATGGGGCAGAGCCCCAGGGCCGGCAAGCACATAGCATCCATATCCTGTCCTTGTAGAGGTTGGCCATCAGGGTCGCCTCAGACAACATGAGACCACATGGCAAAATCAGACAGAATTAGATTGAACGGTTGTGGGCTTGCCCTCGTGACATGTTTGCAAGGGGTTCAGGCGTGGCCATGGTTTGCCAGGCCAGGCGACAAACCGGCCATTGCTGAAACCCTGAAACACGAGCAACAACAACGCTGGACAGATCTCTACACGGCACTTCTCACATACGTCTTCTTAACCGCAGCATGGCATGAAGACCTGCAAAAAAAGAGCCTTCACACTGCTGGCAAGTTAAGTTTTGATAAAGGGACGGCTTCCTTGGCCTGAGGCCCAGTGAAGCCCATCTCAGTCGCCATCTTCTCGGCCTCGGGCATCTTGATGCCTGTCACAGCCGCTCAATTGAAAAAGAAAGCTACTGCAGGCACTGCAGGGCACGTCCTGGTGGGGCAATTGCTGCGGCTTAGGGTGAAGGATTGGATGCGAGCCTTCAATGATGTCCACTGGAGTCCTGATGATGGCCGTCGGGTCTGCGGCTGCAATATCCTGCGAAGCCAGGAACTTCTGGAGGCAGAAAACACTGGTCCACAACACGTAAACTTGGTGAGGGAAGGGTGCTTGGTCCTCGATCGAGGTGCCTCCTGTCTTGCTGCCGATCATCAGGGGGCCGCCGCTGGCCCGGTCCATGAGGATCGCGAAGTACTTCTCCTAAGAATGCCGCTGTCAACAATTATGGATTCACTTTCCAGCGTGTGGACTGGATCCGCAGACACCACTCACATTGAGGCAGGCAAATGTTTGTCAAAAGTTGCAACCTCCCTCTGCGAATGCAGGCATCTTCCTAATTCTGTTGCTTCTTGTATAGAGTTGAAGGGCTTGGTTTTGCAAGGGTCTCGATATAAACGTTTGCGGGTATTGTGAGGGGTACTGGGGCTTCGACTTCAGAACTTACTGTAGGATTGGGAGCGGGGTGAGTAGTCTAGAAATGCAAGGTTCAGTTCGGGGCATAGGGTCACGGCCTTGTGAGGCACAACACGCAAGATTTAGGGTGCGCGGTCTTAGGGTTCGGGGGTTTGAAATCCAGATTGGTTTAGGGAGTATACCTCGGTATGGGGGTGCAAGCAGGAATACCCTGGAGGTGGCTGTAGTCACTAGCTCGCGTACGGGTTTCGGATTTTTAGGTCGAAGGTATGGGGTTTCTGGGTTTATGTTTAGGGTTTTAGGGCTCGGCTTCAAGGTCTGGCTGGTTGGGGTTTACTGAGCTTAGGTCTCTTTATCCATGCTTGTAGGCGGCGTTAGGTTTAGGGTTTAGGGGTTTTGAACATCGTCAGGGCTTAGCGTTTGCATGTTTCGGGCGTTAAAGCTTTAGAGTTAGGGTGGTAAACCGCATTTCCAGGGTTCGAGTGTCGGGCTTTGGGGAAAGGGTTTTGCCTTGCGGGGTTGGTGTGTCCTGGTCTTGGGCTTAGGTTTAGGCTTTGGGTTGGTGGTCACTTCTTTTTTCTAGGTTGCGATTTTCTGGGCTCCTGGTCTTGACGGCGTTTCGGTCTTTCAAGGGACGGGGACGAGATATTGATGGTTACAGTAGGCTTCTATAGCTTCGAATTTTTAGGGTAGTTGAATGCTGTCATCGCTTCAGGTTCGAGTTTGGAGCTAAGGGTTTGTAGGGTTCGGGATTCTTGTTTTGGGTGTCAGGTGGAACTTGTTGCAGAAGAAGGCAGTGAAGTGCTTCTGGGTTGGGTCGTACAGTTCTTGAGGGGTGCAGAATTAATTTAAGATTTTCTGGTTTTTTTTGAATTTGTTTTGTTTTGGCGTGTTTTGATAGAAAGTCTCAGGCGAGAGCTTGATTTGGCAATCCAAATCAGGAAAAAATTCAGGCGAGAGCTCGTTTTTGCATTTCAAATGTGTGAAAGTCTCAGGCGACAGCTCGATTTTGGATTAAAAATGTGTGAAAGTCTCGGG